TTAGAATTTATTCTTCTCCCCTCACCTCTATTTTACTTGATCCCCATATTATGTCAGTAATCCAAAATTCAGTAAAAAACAAAGCTGATCTTTAGAAGGAAATTTGGGATGCTTGTGTTTCTCACAGCTTTACAGAGCCAAAAGCAGGAGGTTTCTATCACTAGAATACTTTCCAACAGGACATGAAGCATTTGCTGTTATACATCTGATGTCATAATAAAATCTTCCTCTGAAGTCTGTTCAGTTATAATCACAATAAAAGAACTACGCTAGACATCTGTTTCATATATGATATTAGTGCTGTATAAGCCTCTTCACAGCAGTAAGCAATCTGTTTCAGCTAGGTCACTTAGTGGAAAAAAATTTAAATGGCAACAGAACAGTAAAATATTGCAATAACATTTCTATGACATAGGCAGTAAGGTTTTTATGTACGTGTGCCTACACTTTATTTGAAATTCATATTTTGTTATGAAGGGATAATAATACCAGAGAACATTTTATGTTTTTCTTGTCTGTTTTTCTTTCTTGGTTTAGCTTTTTGTTTTATTTATTTTTTGCTTTGTTTCCTTGTGGGTTTTTTTTTGTTTTGTTTTGTTTTTTTTTTTTCTCTAAAATGAGCATTGTACAGCTAAGTGGTGAAGAATGGATCAAGGACCAAAGGAAGACTCTAAGAAATTTATAAGCACTTTTTTGGAGATGCCACATTACAGTACATTGAATATTGGATCTATCTATATGACTACTAATGAAAAACTCACATACTGTAAGGAGATCTAGTTGATTTTGATATTGGAATAGGTACATTATTTACTGGGAACATTTTAACTCCTTTTTAAGTCACATATCATGAAATAAAAAGGAGAGAAAAATTCAGATTAAGACTACAATTTTATTTTAGAAAATACTTTTTTTTTTTAATTGGAAATATTATATAAAAGCATATTGAGCTTCCAATTGCAAAAGTTCTGTCTCACTGAATGAGGCTATCTCAGATGACTCAGTGTTATGCAATTTATTTTTCTATTTTTTTTGTTTCTGAGTCACACTAATAGTTCAGTATTTTTTGGTCTTTCTCATATAATGAATATTACTTGACAGTAATTTAATTAAATTATATTAAGAATTTTAATTTGACACAGAATGCATGTTGTCAAGTCATTCCTATAGTCCTGTACCTAAAATCTGTAATTTTACAGAGTTACTATAAATTATACCTGAACAACGGTGCATTTTCTGTGGCAAATTTTGGAACTGAGTAACTTTTGCTGGAGGTGGTAACTTCTTAGAAGTTGCTTACAATTAACAGTAGTAAAAGTGCTGCTGTTAAAAATTACTTATGTTGACCTATAAGCATCTTCAATAGACAAAGCTCTGATTCCATACCAAGAGAGAAATGGTATAATCTCTAGAGGAAACCTCACACTGGAAGTTCACTGCACTATTTCCTCTTCTTTTTATATCTACTGACCTGTACAGACAATACTCTCAATTCTAAAAAACTCCATAGTCATTATTTTGTAGCACAGATAGTAAGTGGCTGTGTTTGTATATAAAGCAGAAAAGCACAGGATATTCAGAGCAGAGCTGAGAATTCTGTCAAATCCCCTTCCCTAAAGTGTGAAACTGTGCATATTATTACTTCATTTATGTTAGTAAAATATCTTATTATAGGAAACAGGTAAGTATAATGAATCATAAACCTTTAAAATTATGATATTTGAAGAATCACTGGAGGCAAAAAAAGAAGTCTTTTTACTGGTACATCATTACTAGACAGTTTCTAATTAATGACTATCAGTTCTTGTAAAAAGATTAAAAGAAAAAAATCGTCATTCCAAGTAGCAAAAGGAAAAAAGTACTCATGAATTCTTGAAATACAGTGCTATGAAAAAGACTCAGAGGTTTTACTCATATAGTGGTTATTGTATTATATTATAATCCTTTCACTGATGTTGTTTTGGGAGCTATCTGTCAATTATAATAGTTTAAAGATTAAGTCATTGTGTGCTGAAGCCAAGAGGTTTAATACCTATTAATTTCAGATGGTTTTGCCAGGTACTTACTGCACAGAATTCAGGTTATCCCAAGCAGCAGCTAACAGAAGGATAAGCTATAATTCACAGGCTATTTTATGTAAAACAAATAAAATTAGAATTACCTCCAGAGGGAAGCTAGTTAACTAAGTGACTTTAGAATATTTTTTCAGGATTACTTTTTTCCTACACTTCAGCAATACAAATCTTGTCAGTTCCATGTCATTCCAAATATAAATTGTTCAAAAAGTAACAGCCATTTTTAAAAATACAGTAAGATTAGTTTGACAGTACCATGGTATATGTTCTTCTGAGAATATACTTCCCTGATTATTCTTTTTTATAAGGGCATATGTAGACTAAATATATGCAGATGAAAAAAGCATTCAGAAGTTAGTAGATTTAGAAAAGCCTCAGAAAGTTTCCATAATTTTGCCCATGGGGCAATAATATTAGTCTTGAAATACTCAAGACTACTGTTTGAGAAAAGTAGATTGTATGAAAATTTATCTATGAAAGAAATAAAAGCAAGCATATTTTCTCCTCTTAGAAGAGAGGACAATATCAGAATAAAACTCATCCTGAGAAGTAAACATTTTTTGTATTTAAAATGAAATTGCCATTCAAGAATTATCTGGCAGCAGAGAGGTCAGATACTCCTACATGGAGTAGGAAAACATGGTTGCTGTGTAATGAAGACAGAATATGAGGAAGAAAAACTGCACTTATGAACACTTGATGTTTACTAAGCAGAAGTGAAAGTCGTAGGTAGGGCTGAGACACCAGATTCCATAAATACAACTGCAGGGCCCCTTTCAGAATTGTCTTTGGGCTCACCATGGAATGTCATCTCAGGAAAGAAGTTTGTCTGACGAAGACAGCCAGGACTGGACAGCTCTTTTTCTGATTTGTGACTAACCCAGGACCCAGGAAGCAGGCATTTTTCATGTAAATCTTCAGAGACTTTCGATTTAACAGACCAGAATAAGGCCTAGGAAACCTTAGTTTGTCAGCAAGTTACAGATTTTTTTTTCCTTCAAATAGAACTAAATAAGGAACTCGAATGTTGTTTATTTTTCTTACTTTATTTGGTTGAGTTTGGGTTTGTTTGGGTTTTTATCTCATGATTAGTTTAATAATTGAAAAATAAATTTTTAGATGAGTTTTTGTCTGAACAAAAAAGCGTTTTGAGTGGATTTTGAACACTGAGAGAAAGGATATTACGTATATATTCATACATATGTACATATTAATTAATTTTTAATTAATTACCTACTAAGTGAGACGATTTTGAGGAATGGAGATTTGAATTGCTTCATTTTAAAAGAGAAATTGAAAGAAGTCTGCTTGAGGATCCTAACTACTAAGCGCAGAAATATCAGCTGCTTGTTTTTCTCACAATTTTGTTTTGCTAGGTAACAGCCTCCTGCAGTTCTTTGAAAGAACAGTTGCAGGAGAGGCTTCCAAATCCTTGATAGAGTTACTTGAGCCTCAGAGAAAATCTCCATCAGAGAAGTTGATACAGCTTTATACATACAGTTTTGCTTTTACCTGCTTTGAGTGGCTCACTGTTCAACACAAAGATTTTTAAAGCTGCCATTTTAAAGCACCTAACTCTCCCCAGAGACTGCACAACTTAAGGAACTTCACTCACAGGAGACTTACATCTTCAAATAAAACAAAGAAGTTTACAAGCATTTGCTGTTTCTACTTATCTTAAATGTATGCATACAGGGAAATGGCTAACTTAATAGGATTTAAAATAGAAGATGCCTATCTTCCCCTCTATGACTCTCTTTTTATACAGCTGCACTTACCATTTCTGTGATTATTCAATTATTGATGTCAGATCTGATGCTCTAATAGGTGTAGGCACAGACAACTGTTGGGCTCATTTCTTGTTTCTTGTTCCTATTGGGTTTGAATATTATTTCTAATACATTGATAAAGGCAATGTTGAGTTACTTGATTCACAATCATTATTTCAATTGGTATGTTGAGCTTTTTCTTTTAATTTAAGATAATTGCATAAATAGCAAGCCATTTGATTGACTTTTGGTTACTACTGAGATAAAGAAAGAATATATGATTTCTTGTATGCTTTAATACATATGTACATATACATACATATATATACATATATATACATATATATATATATATATATATATATATATATATAAGTTTTTTTGTCCTCACATATCAGTGTTTGAAGTGTAAGTGATTAAAATTAAAATGCCATCAGGGATTAGTGGCTTAGTTATATTCACAATAAAGTTAGCAGAACAGTCCCCTGTGGGAGTTCAAACAGAAAGAATTAAGTTATCTTAAGAAATAAAAAAGGACCACTGTATCTGCTTCCATCATTGTTGTAATCTAAATGCTTACTTAAAATTGTAACTGGGAGTATCAATAAATCCTAGATGATATTGTCCCCTTAGGGCCATACTCAAGATATTAGATAATAAACAAAAAGAAGTAGGTAGGCAAGCTCCTCTGTCACAATTCACAAAAGATTTATTCCTACCTACTCGCCTGGGTTTTTTTCTAATTTTTCTGAGAACCTTATTTTACTGAAATAGTCCATTGAAAAATTTTAACCATGAAAAGATATGTCTAACAGGTGAAAAATGGAGGGCAGTTTAGATGCAATTTCCTTTTTCCTCCTCTCCTTCTTCAATTACTTCTTATTTCTGGTGATTCATGTATCTGACTTGTCCTCACTAAATATGTTATATTGAGCTATTTTTCTGGAAGTTGTATATCTTTATGTGTGCATGTGTGTGTGTGTGTGTAGCATTTAATAAGGCTTTCCCAGAGTGAGTGAGCTTGCTGTAATAATTTTTGGGGAGATTGCTGTGAGATGTCAGGCAACTAACACCTAATCTCTTACGGTAGGTTGGGTATTATTTGGTCATTCTTTTCGGGCATAATGTCACAACCATTTGTTTCAATTGCAGCATCTGCTTGTGTGCCACAGCCGCACGCTCCCATCACCACATTGGCTGTGTCAGTCCAAGACTTCATGTGGAAGTGAATCCAACGAGAGTTCACTGCACAACTGTGGCTGCGCAAAACCTGGGATGGTGCAAGAACAAAATCATCAGATGTGTAAGGCAGCAGTGTTATTGGGGAGGGGGTTATGAAAATTAGGCTGTGTTCTTGGCTAGTTAGTTAGTTCTGTTAACTGTGCTTTTCTTTAGTTAGTTTGCAGTTCCTCTGGGATCTTATCTTTGCTATTTCCGGATGTATGGGGACTACTAGTTGTAACTGCCTGCAAAGATTCCCAATGGTTTCATTTCTTTTAAAGTAAATCGCTTGGGAGAATACTTTGAGGAATTTGGAGCTATGTTTATCTACCTTCTTCAAACAGACAACTCAGGAAAAACATGATAAAGCAGAGTTAGTATCAGATTTTAAAGGGCACTGAGGAAAAATGTGAATATGGTGTCGATGAAAGTAAGAAATTCATGTGTGATTTCTTCTTAACTAATTTTTGGAGTTTATGAGTTTATTTTTTGAGTTATGAATTCTGTTAACTCTGTATGGAACTAAAAAAATAATTGAGTGAAAGGAAATATAAAGGGGTTTAGGTACAATCCAGGAGTAAATAACTTCAGTTTAAAGTAAATCATAGAGATACTCTTGTAGTATCAAATCCTCCATTCAACTAGTCATTGTTTTCTACTTATAATTAAGTATTAATCCAAGTGAAGAGATCCCATTTACTTGGGAAGTAAATGGAGAGCTAGGGTGGACCAGGTAGACTCATAGGTGTAAGATAGCACCCTCCCTAAAATAAAAAAAGTGGTTATAATTTCTTTTTGTCAAAACTGCTGAAGAATTATTTTAAAAATTCTGTCTCCTAATGTGGATGGGTAGTATCAGTATGATTTAGATCTTTTAATTTTTATTATTTAAATAAAAGAATAATATGGCATAATTTGAATTTTAGAACTTACAACTCCAAGAAGAAAATAAAAAATTCCTTGTTTGTTTGTTTGGTGATGTTTATTTATATTGAGCTTAAGGGCTGTGTTTCATCTTCTAAATCATTTGTCATTTGCCACTTTCGAAGGCTGAGGCTTATTATCAATAAGTTGCAGCTAAGTCAGCATTCAGTTCAAAAGTAGAGGGAAAAACCAAATCTGTTTATATTTGCCTTTAAAGTTTTAAGATCAAGTTCTAAACAAATTTTATTTGTCGCATTTTTCATTTGTGCAACCAATGGATTTAGCTGGCATAAAAAACCTCAGACTGGAGTTTGGCTAGGGTACTGAAACCAGCATTTTATAACTTCTCAAAATTAGCATTTCCACTACAATCCCTTTATATGTTTGGGTGTTCAGAGTTATTTTCTTGCACATTTCATATCTTTAATATGTTTCTCCAGGGTTTTCATCAAAGAAAGTGTTTTGATTTATTTTTTCTAGATGAATATACTGTGTCTTTAGTGGATGCTTGCATGAGATCTGGTGTTTGCAAACCATAGAACATGCCTCAAAGAAAAATATTATAGACAAACAGTCTTGAACACTGTCTTAATTTGTCTGTTTATGATGAGGTTTTGAACATCTGTTTTCCTTTCATCTGGTCTTTATAAATATTTTGAAGTTTCACAACAGCCCTGTTGATCAGTGTGCTGGGGCCAACAAGTGGGAAATATGCACAAAACAGGAGAGAAAGAGAATATAAGTGGGAAACACGGTGACATGAAAGGTGATTGTAAGAGAAAAATGAGAGGAAAATAAGAGTGCAGAGATCCATATTTCCAATATCTCTCTTTTAATGTCCCTCAATAAACTTTTTACATAATAAAAATGTAAAATGATGGGAAAAATGCCATGTGTTTATTAAATGTCTGGTACAGTTTGATCTGCCTCACAGACAGATCATCCAGATGTCATAAAAAATAAAAGAAGTCTGGCAGAAATTGAATGTTATATTACTTTGCTTTGTGATGTATTGAAGTTTTCTGATGCTTCTCTTCTTCCAGTGATTTTTCATTCCAAGTATTTCTGTATATTCAGTTCCAGAAGTTCCTGTCTGTATTGCAACCGTTACTCCCACAAAATAATTTTGCCTTTTTACTGATTATAAGTAGGAAAAAAAGATAATAGTAAACAAAGTTTCATGATGTCCTTCCAATATAAAAAAGAGTATTTAATATGTATTTTTGAGGGAAAGAGGGATAATTGGAAATACACACTCAAAGCAGCCAGATTAGCGATATTTAAGTAAAATTGTAAAATAGAGGAAAATATGTTTGAGTGCACAATTAAATATAAAAGTTAAGTGTGTGCATTTAGATATTGCTTATGTTGTATGCTGGTTTTCAGGCAATATTTTCATTTTTCAACTTTGTATCTAAACAAGCCATAGGTGGCTCTGCTAAGTGATGCTATAGGGGATCAGTAGCTAGGAAACAAGTACACATGCAGATTTGTATAATAGTTTCCATGGAAAGGTATATATGGTTCATCTGCAGTTCAACTTAGAAGGCAAAGCAAGAGATAACAGAAGTGAGTTATTGATAAATCTGAGAAATTGGTGGATAAAATGGTATGTGAAATCTGGGAAAGATATAAATATCTGGGTTTGCCTGATTCACATATTATTTTAGGATGCTGCTTTTTAAAACTATAAATTTTAAAGGTGTCTTTGTAAATACAAAATACAATTTCTTCCTGATTCAGGGAAAAGATAAATCAGGCAGTCTTAGCAGGTCAAACATGATCTGAAATTCTTAGTAAAAAACATGACACTTATCTGAGATGAATGCAATTCCTAAAACACAAAATAACCATTTCTTCCCTTTAACTAAGATTGTATATTTAAAAATTTCCTGTATCGTGATATTCTTTTTCCCGTTTTGTCATTGTTCATGTGCTAAATCTGCTAATAGACTTCTGTAACAAAAACTCCATCAAAACATGTTTCCTGCAGAGGAAAAAAGTGAAATTAATTTTTTCCCTTTCAAATTTGCTAATGAAAAATGTTCATGATGGTGTAGTGAGATCTATGCCATTGTCTGATGGAAATAGCAAACTGTGTTGATCAAATTTAATTTTCATTGCCGCACACAACTGCTGCCTTTTCAAAATATTTATTGCTATTTTTTTTACATGTAGTCCAAGTTGGAGAGAAAAAAGAGGGATTTTTTAATGTAAATTTGCACTGAAAATATTTACTTAAAGGATAGAGTTAGTGTCCCTTTGGACTGTAACTGTCAAGATGCATTTCATAAGTAATGCAAAGTCGTACCATGTCTACAATTTTCTTTGTAGTCTTGGAAATGTAGTACCACATCCTAACATATGTAAAGATTAAATGGGAAGAGCAAAATCAGCTATACAATAAAGTTTTCCAAATTATCAGGTAATTTATTAAAAAAAAGAGAAACTTTTGTATTCTTAGTAGGCACTAGAATGATCTTTGTACTAGTACAACTTAGTAGTTCACTGAGAACATATATTAATCACGTAATGTTTTTAGAACAGTGATAGAATTTTCCCACTAGCTCATAAATGATCCCTTGTCAAAAAAGCATAACCTGAATTCTTCCTTAAAAAGAACTTTTGAGACAAGTCACAATGCTAATGAATATTTAACCAACACTTTACTATATTACCATGTTTAATGATATTTTATTATCATATTTTATTATGCAATTTTATTCCCAAGAGTAGAGGCACTTGAGGGAAGGTACTCTGGTGGCAAACAGTGTAGCATAGTGATGCCCCCTTGGAAGATAATTTTGAAATGTAGGCTTAGAGGTAGGGGGAAAAGGAAAACCAAATATTTTTATAGCACAGGTTATATATTAATAGCTATCTATATCTGAAGAAAACAGACAATAAATTTCCGCAGAAAGACAGTAGGTATGATAAAAACCAAACAATGTGGGCTGGCTACACTCAGTCTGTACTCTTGATCTGATACAATGGTACTCTACACTGTAGAAAGGTCTTCAAAGCTACCAGGCTTCTTGTGGAAGACTCTGGCTGACTCTGTAAGGAGGATTAGCAGAATCAAAGCATCTGTCTCTCATCCTCTGCTAACCAAATCCTTTTTACAAGACAGGCTATAAAACCAGAGAATAGAAAAAATAAATATTTTTCTCTATAAAAATAGAGAATAGAAAGGACATACCTTCCATCAAAAATAGAAATCTTGAACAGCAATCATGAACCCTTTCAATTAATAGCCCATTTGGACAATTCAGTGATAGTGTATTTAGAAAGACATACAAAACTCCAGCAGCTTCCATGTATAATGTAAACTGACACTATATGTAGTCTCCCTAGACAAAAGAAAGTATTTAAATTTCTCTGATACTTCTAGCAGCATCAACTAGGCATGTGAAAACACATTTTCCAGATGAAGAGTTCCTGTGAGTGCTTTGTCATTAATTCCAGGCAAAATCAACCAGATCAGTTTGAATAGTTACACTGATATTTGGAACACTTGGATGAACTGCCTTGTCATCAGGATAGAAGGGATGCTAGCTTCTGTCTCATGCCTGTAGTGTACAATTAAGAAAGACAACAAAAATAAAAAACAAAAAAAAAAACAAGATGGTATCTTTAGATATCACTAAACTGGAGGCCTAACATATATGAAATCTAGCAGTATATGAAATCAAGTTTCTGCAACACTCTGGCCCACAGCTAGACCTTGTAATTTGTCCAATTTTATTAAAAACCTCTTAGTTTACAGTAAAAAATTTGTTGCTGACAATAACATAGACATCAGTCACAAAAACAAACCAGAAAAAAATGAGTTCTTTTGGTTAGGATGTTCTACTTTATTACTCTTTTAACAATAATTCATTTAATGTCTCTGTCTCCATTTCCCACTGGGAAAATAAGAATTGCATCAACATTCTCTGAACTTCTGAAGTTTCTGTGTGAAAAAGGCCCTTAAATCATAGGCCATACATTAATTCAGTTTGGAAAAGACCTTTAAGATATTTGAGTCTAACTGTTGCCTCAGCTCTGCCACATCCCTAAGTGTTATTTCTCCATATCAATTAAATACTTCCAGGAATGGTGAATCCCTCCCTTCTCTGGATATCCATATCCAATGCCTGACGACTCTTCCAGTGAAGACCTAAACCACCTCTAACGCAAAGTGAGGTCATTTCCTCTTGTCCTATTGCTTTTTACTTGGGAGGATAGATCAGCTCCCACATCACTACAATCAATCTCTTTTCAGGTAGTTGGAGAGAGTGTTAAGGTCTCATCTGGCACTCCTTTTCTCCGGGCTAAACAACCCAAAACTCTCCCAACCGCTCCTCATGAGATTTGTGCTCCAGACCCTTCACCACTTCCATTGTCTTTCTCTGGACAGGCTCCAGCACCTCAATGTCCTTCTTGCTATGAGGGGACCAGAGCTGGACACAGGATTTGAGGCACAGCCTCACCAGTGTGGAGTAGAGGGGAAAAATCACTACCCTGGTCCTGCTGGCCACACTATAGCTGATACAGGAGAGGATGTCATTGGCCTTTTTGACCACCTGGGCACACACTGACTCATGTTCAGCTGGCTGTTAAAAAGTACCTTTAGGTCCCTTTCTACCAGACATCTTTCCAGCTACTCTTTCTCAAGCCCCATTGCACAGGGCTGTTGTTACACAAGTGCAGAACTATTATGCCTAGGCAAAGCAAGGTGTGTGTTTCTCTTAGGATCAAAGGCAGAGTAGGACTCTGAAGCTAATTTTTTTGATCTTTGTTTTGTTTTCACAGTGTGTTATTGAACTTCTCGCACTACCATGTACATACACTCCAGGGGACATGTAAGGAAATATGAAATATTTGATAATGATCTGTATATCTTTGGAAAGCCTGTGTCTCATTACAATTCTGATGACTCCTTTGAAAATGTTATCTACATTGTTTCTCTTTGGAGAAGTGTATAAGCAACTGCCTATATTATCAGTCTGTGAGAAACCGTATCTCTCTTCTCTGCCTTATCCAGGCTGACATTCTTATCCTTCAAAATGTAAAAGGGAACAGTGAGATAACAGGATGTGAGGTGATGAAATGTACTCTGCTTCTGGGAAGGGCTTTCTGCCAGCATGGCTAAGGCATGATGTGATTCATCAAGCAATAATCTGAGTGTAGGTATCACTTTATTCTTAAATCATAAATTGAGCTGCATAAATTACTGTGTCCTATGAAAGATCTTTGCATTGTTCTGAATTGGGTAGAACATTATGAAATGCTTTGATTTAATAAAAAATTTGTTTTCCTAGGTAGCAACTCCTAAGAATACAAGTTTTCTCAAAAAGAACATTGTTTGTTTTATCTGTTTATTTGTTCTGTACTAAAAAAAATATTATTTAGATCATAGTTATAATCTTTTTCTGATGATGAAATAAAATGGATTGAGACATTTGAACAAACTACTGGGATACCAAAGGAGAGAATTTGAAAACATGTTAAACATGCTTATTTGGACTTTTTGGTTGGTTGGTTGGTTTTTGTTTTTTGGTTTTTTGGTTTTGTTTTTTGTTTGTTTGTTTTTTGTTTTTGGTTGGGTTTTTTTTAGGAAACAAAATGCTACTCTCTTTTACAGTTTGTAAAATTCTCAGGAGATGCATAAACCTGAAGTTGTTGTAAAGGTCACTAGTCAAGTTTAAAATTGGAATTTTATTTGGCTACTCCTGATTAGATAATTTCAACTCAGTACAAAGGAAACCTGGAATGCCAAAGTATTAATAAAATACATCGATTTCTGTATTTGAGCATCTAATAATAGAAAGTATTAATGGCATTTTTCAATTTTTCTTTTTTTTTTTTTTGGTTGGTTTAAATCCCTATTCAATTCGTTGTTCTATAATTTTCCGTCCTAACAAAACTGACATACATATCAATATGACCATTAGCTCTTCTGATTAATTAGTCTGTACAAGTACCTACTTACCAACAAATTAAAAGAAAGATAAAAGGCCATTGAAACAACAAGCAAAACCACAAAACACCCTCTAGATTTATCAGCATACTGATATTTTCATTTACCTTTCTTCAACCCTTTAAGTAGGAGTGAACTTTGGAGAAAGAAACATTCTGTTGTTACATTTTGCATTACATGCTTTCATAAAGTACTGAAGTGAATAGTAAGGTCTTGTAGCCTGATACAGATGGTAGAAGAGACATTTCTTTCCTGTGCTTTAGAACCACAATATGGTATACCTCAGTCCTGGGGTGACTGTATGGCCCAGTATCCCCAATTGTGTGCTCTGCTTTACTGCCAGATATTGAGTTCTGTGCCTTTTTGATTGGTTTCAAGAGCCAAGGGGGAAAGACAAAGATGTGGTGCTCTGTTTGTCTGCAGAAGTGTCAATTTACCCTCCTGGAATTCCTTTCTCATGGGCTGTGTTTTTTGCAGCATGGATAGTAGGAGAGAGCTCTCCTTTGCTTTTAGTTAGTTTTTTCTAATTAGCTGAGGCCAGAAGTTTGGTTTCTTTTTTTTTTTTTTTTTTACTGTTCAGCTATTGTTCAGTCTGGGAACATCAGGACTATAGCCCGGGGGCCCCCCCAAGCTGCACTGTGGCCGGAACACTGGACCTGAGCCCGGAGAGACTGAGAGAGAGCTGAGCCAAGACAAACCTACAAAAAGGACTCTCTCTGAACTACAGAAGGATTTTTTGAATTTGCCACCTCTTCAGAACAACAAGAGATTTCATTGTTTAATATTCAATTCTTTTTTCATGTTTTTGAGTACTTTAATTGTTAAATAAACAGTTTATTTTTGGTTCCTAGGCTTATTCTCCTATCACAGATAGCTCCTATTGTCCCTAACATGTAGCTTTTACAGTAGAGGGGCACAGATACGAGTTGCTATAGTGCTGGGCTCCGTGATAATGGTTTATAGGGGGCTTAAAAAGGTACTGGGGAAAGGACAGATAGTAGCACCTGGGGGTGGGGTTTATTAGAAATGTGCATGGTATGTTGTTTCTCCGTCCAAATCTCCTAAACTGGCTGGGGGAGAGTCTGCTGAATTCTGCCCTTTACGGAAACGTCGCTTTGGAAAGTTCCCTTCCAAATTTGTCCCAGACCAGGACAACCTCAAGTCTGATTTAGGAAAATTTAGAAATGTGTTGTGTTGCTTACAATGGAGAGTGTGTCCTTGTGAAAAAATATTTTTATTTTATATTTAGCATTATTTTCCCTCTTTTTTGTTGTGTGCCACGGTACATATATTCAATATACAGTACATATATTACATACTTAATTAGAAGAGACAAAAGCAAATGATATTACATAACCTAAAAGAAATGAAGCAATGGTTAATTTAAAAAAAAAGAAATAATTACAATGGTTCTTCCCCTGAAAAACTAATATACACTGAGTATCTTGGATTTCTTTGTAGAATTATTTTTAGTCTATACAGATTAACATGATAACCTCTGGTTCTTTACACTTGTTACTCTTATACCAGAAGACTTGCTTCCATAGGCCTAGTTTATTCCACCTCTATATTTTTGCTCAAAGTATCTTTCTTTGTAAATTAACAGAAATCTTCATATGACATAAAACAATTTTGGAAAGTAGCTAATTTTCTATTGTCAGCTTCAGAAATAAAAGGAAATCATAGAAGAATGAATCTCGTTTTGTTTACTAAGGTCATTTACTAATGACTATGAGTTATTTGTGTGAATCCATAGTAGCATCTGTGCACTCTCATTCAGAGTGACCTTTATTTTCCTTATACAGCACACTGATATAATTCTACAGCTCACATATGGTAAGTAGGTAGGTAAAAAAATACATGACACTCAACAATAGTATGGAAAAATAGTTACAACAGAATGAATTCTGTGTAATTTAGCAAGGAAAAGGATTTTAACTTCTTAACATTAAGAAGCTTTAAAAGTAGGAATGTTTTCAATGGAAAAATATTTTGAATACTTTTATTAAATTACCTCCAACTTTTGCAAAAAATATAAACTACTAATTTTCTAAATACCAATATTTTATGTCAACCTAGCTGATATATCAGAAGCAATTTTTTACTAGTCTGATTATACATTCTGATTATGCTGTTCTCAAATTTACTTTTTTTCACACAATCCTCTCAAATGTGAGTAATTTCAATTGACACATATTCTTTTTAGGACCATCAAGGTCTGCCTTATTCCTATAGTATGCAGTCTACTTTTGTTGGGCTCCATGGCACTTAACTGTTGCATATATACCATCTAATTTATTGTTACTACTAGCGCTATGGCATAGAAGAAGACTTTTTTTTTTTTTCCTGAGAGCTGTCTAACTAGGTTTATTATATGAAAAGTCTTTGGTATGTCCTGAGAAATGGTAGCTAATAACTGAATCTTTGAATCTCTTAAGACGTTATTTTTTGGTCAGAGCTACGAGACTACAGTGTATATTTTTCTCTATTTTAAGAATTGATATCCCAGAAAATACAGTCGTGTCTTGTATGGTTTTTTTTTGTTTTTGTTTGTTTTTTTGCATCCTCTAAGTATTGTTCCAGAGCACAATAATCAGTAGATCTGTGGTAGTTATTTGGTGTTTGAGCCACCATACATGGGCACTGGACCTTATTTTTCTATGAATTTCTTTGGACTGGAAGTATCACTGTGTCCAAAACTGGAAAGATCTCCAGAGGTATCACTCTTCTCTGTGACAGTGACCACTGACAGAACTCATGGGGATGGCCTGAAGTTGTGTCAGGGGAGGTTTATGTTGGATATCAGGGGAAGGTTTTTATCCAGAGGATGTTTGGACATTGGAACAGGCTCCCCAGGGAAGGAGCCACAGCACCAAACCTGACAGAGCTCAAGGAGCATTTTCACAATGCTCCCAGGAACATGGTATGATTTTTGGGGTGCAGGGCCAAGAGTTAGACGTCAATGATCCCTGGGGGTGCCTTCCAACTCAGCACATTCTATAATTCTAAGAGGTTTTTTGCATTTGTTATCAATGCCTTAAAAATTCATTTTCACTAAAACATAATCGAGATCCAACTTTATTTTTTCTTTCTTTCTTTTTTTCTGGGCAGATCAGAACATTTACATGAAAGAAATGTAGGTTTTAAATCTAAAAGTGAAATTTTTGTATATTTGTGATGTTATATTCTAATTTGAATTTCTTAAAGTCTATAACACCACTTTGCATTCAATAGCGTGCAGACTTCTGCAGACTCAGTTACAAAAAATAAGTGCAGTGTGAATTGGTAATGGGACATTCAATCAGCCTAAACCAAATTCTTTCTATACAGAATATATTATAAGGTACAAAAGAATTCTGAAGTCTAATTTCAGCTACAGCTTTTTGCTTCGAAGCTGTTTTGAACTATTCTTATTGTAACAGTTTGTGTACTGGGTTGTGTAGTTGATAAAGATAACTGGAACTGCTTAACACTTTTACAGACTTTATTAATACAGAGGGGAAAACCAAACCAAATTTGGCTTCTTGATTTAAGAGGTCACTTGAAGATAATCATATCAATGTTTGAGGTCTATTTTTTTAGTACTAATAATACTCTGCAGATTAGCAATTATTGTAAGACATATTTTTCAGGTTACTGAGCAAGACTGTTTTTTATATGAAAAGAAAAACATGTAGAGTCATTATCCGCTAGATATTGTTCTATAAAATTCTGAATATAACAATCTTTTATCTGAGACAAGATACTTTTTAATAACTCAGATGTCTCTTAAACATGCAGGAAAACTTTACCTATCCCAGATATTTAGTGAAAAATTTATGCATTAATATTTCAGCTGAAAAATCATGCACATCATTCTTAGTTATTTTTTTTTAAATCTAAAATGCCTACCTATATTCAGCTTTGAGACCTTGTAGAGAAAAGCATGCTTCTATTGCACTGTGAAGTTATTTTCACAGTAAGCAACAAAGTAATGATGGCATGTGAGTAAGATAATAAGCATAGCAATTTTACTTTAAAAGATTTTTTTGTTTTTCTTATTCACTGTGTGTTGCAGTTTCCTTTATTTTCTCTTGCTTCTTAAATTTTATAAATTTAGGACATGCTATTATCCTTCAAGCTGAAAATATTTGGTAGGACAGTTTAGTGTTTGCGTCAATAACAGCTAGCTAAGTGATTATTCTCTTTCTCTGAATATGAAAGGTC